CAGATATGCACTCCATATCCAGATATGGCTAACTCCATCTCCTTCAGATTTCAGCCAAAATATCACCTCCTCAATGTGATTGACACTGACTTCTCCACCTAATATTTTATCTAGCCCCCTCCCGTGCCAGGACTTCTAATCTCTCTACCCTGATTTTGTTCTTTTTTCTTTTATCATGGTGCTCATCAGCTTCCATTTACCATTCTACTTTATATATTATTCTGTGTAAATTTTGGTTTTTGTTTGTCTTTTTTGGGGGGGGGGATGTCAATCCCCACTGGAACATTAGCTCTATGAGGGCAGGGATCTTTGTCTCTTTTCTGTGTGTGTGTTGGGGGGGACACTTTTGTATCCTGAGCATCAAAAGCTGTCTAGCCTAGAATAGTATTCAATAAACACTCTTGTTTAAGTTCAAAGCTCTTACAAGGTAAATACTTTGAAGCTGCTGGGCTAGTATGCATATCATTTTCAACTTTAATATATATTTCAAAATTGCTTTTTAAGTGAGTACAGTAATTCATACCCCTACCAACTGTGTATGAGCATTCCATTTTTTTCCACAAATGTTATTGCTAAGGTGTGGGTATGATATGGTTTTAAATTGGCCTTTCCTTAATTACTAATGATTCAGCGTATTTGCCTATTTTTTTTTTTAAAGATTTTATTTATTTATTTGACAGAGAGAGACACAGCGAGAGAGGGAACACAAGCAGGGGGAGTGGGAGAGGGAGAAGCAGGCTTCCCGCGGAGCAGGGAACCCGATGCGGGGCTCAATCCCAGGACCCTGGGATCATGACCTGAGCCGAAGGCAGACGCTTAACGACTGAGCCACCCAGGCGCCCCATATTTGCCTATGTTTACTGGTCATGCAAGATTCCACCTCTGTGAATTGCCTGTACACTTTTTTTGTCATTTTTTTTTTCTGTTTGGTTGCTGGCTTTTTTCCCCTTATTTATTTATGGATATTCATTATATATTCAGTGTACTGAAACTTTGTTGGTTATACATGTTGCAAATATCTTCTCTCAGTAATTTGCTTAACTTTCCCACTAGTTTCTGGTGTTTTTAAATATAGTTTTAATTTTTAATAAGGCCAAATTTATTTATTATCTATTACTCCTTCACAGTCTGTGCATTTTAAAGCAAATCCTGCTCTACTTGAGGTCACAAAGAAATGATCCTAAGTTTTCTTTTAAAAGTATTAAAGTTTTGGGGCGCCTGGGTAACTCGGTTGAGCATCCAACTCATGATTTCGGCTCAGGTCACCATCTCAGGGTTGTGGGATGGAGCCCCAAGACGGGCTCCATGTTCAGCAGAGAGCCTCCTTGTCCCTCTCCCTCTGCTCCTACCCCTGCTTGTGTTCCCTCTCTCAAATAAATACATAAAATCTTTTTTAAAAAAAGTGTTAAAGTTTCACTTTTTGACTTTTAAGACTTTACTCTTGGGGAACCTGGGTGGCTCAGTCGGTTAAGTGTCTGCCTTCCACCCAGGTCATGATCTCGGGGTCCTGAGATAGAGCCCCTAGTCGGTCTCCCTGCCCATCAGGAGAGTCTACTTCTCCCTTTCCCTCTGCCTCTACCTCTGCTCATGTGCACGCTCTCTCTCTTTCTCTGTCTCACTTGGTTGCTCACTCTCTAATAAATAAAATCTTTAAAAAAAAAAAGAAGTAAAATTAAAAAGAACAGTTAATTTCCACGGAACACATTCTTGGGATTTTGTTTGACTTTGCATTGAATTTGTATACTAACTTAGGAATATCATAATGACATCTTTATGATACTGAGTTCTATGCACAGACATGATATATAACTCCATTACCTATACATAATAAAGTTTATAAAATGTTTCCATTAAGGTACCTTATGTATTTCTTCACTCCTATACTAGCTGTCTTTTTTCCCCTCATTTTTAAATTTGAGTGTAGTTGACACAGACTGTTACATTAGTTTCAGGTGTACAACATAGTACAACTTTATACGTGATGCTGTGCTTACCACAAGTGTGGCTGCCATGTGTCCCCACACATCACTACTACAATACCATTGACCATATTCTCTGCGCTGTGCCTTTTATTCCCTTCGCTTATTGATTCCATAACTGGAAGCAGTACCTCCTACTGCCCTTCATGCAACTGCTGTCTTTTACAATTATGTTTCCTAACTTGTGCTGGGGATAGGAAATGCAATTGTGATTATACATTTTTAAAAATTACACCACCTTGGGGCGCCTGGGTGGCTCAGTCGTTAAGCGGCTGCCTTCGGCTCAGGTCATGATCCCAGGGTCCTGGGATCGAGCCCCACATCGGGCTCCCTGCTCAGCGGGAGGCCTGCTTCTCCTTCTCCCTCTGCTGCTCCCCCTGCTTGTGTTCCCTCTCTCGCTGTCTCTCTCTCTGTCAATTAAATACATAAGTAAATAAAATCTTTAAAAAAAGTTTCGCCATGATTATTACTGTGGTTCTAATTATGACAGCACATTTATTTTTAATGAGTGGTTTTGGCTTTTCTGACGTTTCTTTAAATCTTATCTTTCGTCAGTTCTCTTTGTAATGGATGATTTCTCTATTTTAGGAGGGAAAAGAGCCTGCCCCTAAGCAAAGACCCAAACTGGTTTGTGTTGTGTGTTGTGATGCTTAAGCTCCCCAAGGCCTCACAATTTGGGGATGCCTTTTCCTTGGGGCCGCCTGGATTTAGCAGGAGCAAGAATGGTTTTTAACAGTGAAGGTCTAGGGCCCCAGGTGTTATAAATCACGCCCGGCCCAGTGCTGGACACGTGCCAGTGTTTGAGCTCCAGGAGAGTCCTGAGTCCTAGCCTGATGTATTTCAGTACTGTACTTCTGTGTTTCCACGTGTTACTCTAAGTGTGGGAAACTGAGTTCATACTGACACCGGTAACTCCAATCCAAATTACAGGGTTCACATCAGATTGCTTTCTTCCCTATTTGTAACTCTCTTCTCTGATAATGAGCAACTTTGCTCTCATTAACTTCCATACATTTCCTTATTTGATCAACACTTCCTGTTTATAACAAGTCTCCCAATCCAGTGCCTTCTCACCCCATTCCCTTGGGCTAAAACCCCAAATAGGACAGGTGGTGACATGTGCATGGGGACATGGAATAGGTGGTGGTGGTTTTCCTGTCATTCCTGCCTCCCCACCACCATGACACCCTCCTCACACCACCTGGGCTCCAAAGTGGCTGAGCTGTGGCGATTTCCCACCTCCCATGACCCCACCTAAATGCTTTTACACTGTGTTATTCAGGAAGGAAAGAAGGTAGGATTTTAGTGTGGTTTGTTTTTTTAGATTTTATTTATTTGACAGCAAGAGAGAGCACAAGCAGGGGGAGTGGCAGAGGAAGGGGGAGAAGCAGGCTCCCCGCTGAGCAGGGAGCCTGATGCGGGGCTCAATCCCAGGACCCTGGGATCATGACCTGAGCCAAAGGCTTAATGAGTGAGCCCCCCAGGTGTCCAGGATTTTAGTTTTTAAATGGGGTGGGAAGGAGGCGCCTGGGTGGCTCAGATGGTTAAGCGTCTGCCTTCGGCTCAGGTCATGATCCCAGGGTCCTGGGATCGAGTCCTGCATTGGGCTCCCTGCTCCTTGGGAGCCTGCTTCTCCCTCTGCCTCTCTCTCTCTCTGTCTCTCATGAATAAATAAATAAAATCTTTAAAAAAAAATGAATAAGATTTAGAAAAAGAAAATGGGGTGGGAGGAGGGATTTCAAATATCTCAGCATGAACCTCAATATGCCTGTCCCTGAACTTCAACAAATACTGTCTTTTGGCCATTTTCTTTCATTCTTCTATCCCCTTTCTTTCCCTTTCCCTTCTACCCCTGCCTTCCATCTTTCCTTCCCTCATTCCCCTTTCTTTTACTAAAGAAAACTCCAGCAATCTGTTCACCCATAAATACAGATGCTTAAGTGTGAATTTCTAACAAGGTCCTTAATATAATCATAGTCTTATTAGATTCAACAAAATCAACAGTAATTCCTTAATATCACTGTGTTCAAGTTTTCCTAATTATTTGAAATGTCTTTTTTTTTTTAAGATTTTATTTTTAAGTACCCAAAGTGGGTCCCGAGCCCATGACTCTGAGATCAAGAGTTGCATATTCTATGGACTAAGCCAGCCAGGTGCCCCTGAAATACATCTTTTTACAGCTGTTTTTCCGTTTTGGATCCAGATATAATTTACCATTTGCATTTGGTTGACTTGTCTACTCAGTCTCTTTTATTTATTTATTTTAAAGATTTTACTTATCAGAGAGAGGGCATGTGAGCAGGGGAGGCGGGGGAGAAGAAAAGGAAGAGGGAGAAGCAGACTTTGGGCTGAGCGTGGAGCCCGTCACAGGGCTTGATCCCAGCATCCAGAGATTGTGACCTGAGCTGAAGGCAGCCGTGCAACCGACTGAGCCACCCAGGTGCCCCAACTCAGTCCCTTTTAGTCTATGACAGTTTTCCTTCTCTTCCCCTCCTTTTTTTTTTAAACATTTATTTATGGAACAGCTTCAGTCTTCTGTCCTATAAAATGTTTCACATTCTAAACTTAGCTGATTGCTTATTTTTAGTATCTTTAACTTATTTTCAAACTCAGCTGCATGTTGGAATCATCTAGAAAAATTTATTAAACACCCAGGCATCTCCCCCACAGACTAATAATATAATTGATCTTGGTTCAGCCAAGGTATCAGGATATTTTTAAAAGTTCCCTAATGATTCTAATGTGTAGCAAAGTTTGAAAACCTGTAATTTAATTTGCTTTTGTATTTCACCTGTTTGCTGGTATTTGGATCTAGAGACTTGATGACACTGACTCACTGACTTTGGCAGTATTTGTTCATATAACAGTGCCCCAGATCTCCCTGGTAATGTCCTCGACTCGTGGGCCCAAGAGGGAGGCTGCTAGCACTTGACGGGTTAATAGTGATTTCCCACTTGCAGGCATCTTCTGCAGAGATACAGCTGCCCACTAGAGAGAGGCCCAAGTACCGCCTTGGCCCAGGATGGCTAGAGAATCCAAGGAAGGCACAGCCTTGGACGACCAATCTGCAGAGAACCAGATCGGGCTTCTGGTCGTAAAAGTGGAAGAGGAGGCCAGCCCTGTTCAGGGTTCAGAAAACTCCCGCCGGCGCTTCCGGGGCTTCCGCTACCCCGAGGCCGAGGGGCCCCGCGAGGCGCTGAGCCGGCTCCGGGAGCTCTGCCGTCAGTGGCTGCGGCCCGAGACGCACAGCAAGGAGCAGATCGTGGAGCTGCTGGTGCTGGAGCAGTTCCTGACCATCCTGCCCGAGGAGCTGCAGGCCCGGGTGCGGGAGCAGCACCCCGAGACCGGGGACGAGGTGGTGGTGCTCTTGGAGTATTTGCAGAGGCAGCTGGAGGAGCCAGGGCCGCAGGTAGAGGCAAAGGGCTTAGTATCTGAGAGCAGAGCTCTGTCTCTTCCGGAAGCCTCAAGATCGGGGTGAGGGGCGTTTGTGTAAGATCCAGAAGTTCTCAATCTCTTTTTGTATCGTGAACCTCTTTGCCCCTCCGGACAAGTCCCTGGACCCCTCCTCATACGAGTATTTTTAAGAACATGAAGGATTACAAAAGAACTCAATTATATGGAAACACGGTTAACAGCATGAAACAAATTAGTGATAAAATCATATATATGCTTTTTAAAATTAATGCACTAAATAGTAAGACCTAGGGACAGGCCCAGTAACTGGTAGAGTTTCAAAGTTGTTATAAGCATGAATGACTCTTGACAATGTTTGCCTGGCTGTGATGTGGTGTGAAAACATCTGTAATTTCTATTGGTGACTAAGTCCTGTGGCTTATGCCACATTGGTTCGTTGCTTCCATTTATAATGGAAGGAAATGCCAAATTTCTCTTAGAGGCTAGTAAGCATTAAAATACTTTTTTCCTGGACCACTTGGGAAGGAGTCCAAGAACCTCAGGCTCAAAAACACCCTTGCATCTTCTTGCCTCGCCAATCTTTTATGAGATTGTGTCCTCTGTGTACCATCTTGTGAATGTTCCTTCAGAGGACATGTGGCAGAGCGTTCCAAGCACTGACCGGGAGCCCAGGGCTCTGGACTGGGATCTGCTGCCCACCAGCCCTTGAGCAGTGAAGTCGTTTCAAGGCTCTTAGCTTCAGCCGCCTCATTCTTCACAGAAGTGGTTAAGTCTGAACTGTGTGTGAGAAAGTAACTTGGAAAATGTAGTTTAACTATAAATGTCTAAAAGGAAGCCAGCTTTTCATGGGGACAGACCATGTACAGGGTCCTGAGTTAGGTGATTGTACATACTGTCATCTTATTGGTCCCAAAACCCTATAAGTGAGAAATGATTGCCCTCACTTTTCAGATAAGAAAAGACACCGTATTCTGAGAACACTAGTTCCCAAAGAGTCTTCACTTAGAGCACAATGTATATAACAACGGAGCATGTGGTAGTGGTTAAGAGCATGGGCTCCGGGGTCTCTCTGCCAGACCCCGCATCCTAGCATCACCACTTATTAGCTGGGTGACCTTGGGCAAGTTGCTTCAACTCTGGGCCTCCGTTTCCTCATACAAAAATACAGGTAATAATAGTCCCTAGCTCATAGAGTTGTTTTTTTTTCCGCATAGAATTGTTACCTGCATTCAGTGAATTAATATTCATAAGGCTCTTAGAAACAGTGCCTGGAAAATAGAAAGTACTAGCACATAGAAAGCATAATAGAAGTTTTGATGAATCAATACGTGAATGACTTCCAGGTCCCAGGTGGTGACCAGAGGCAGCTACTCTGTTGCACGATGGCGGTGTGGACACCAGCTCAGAGGCCATGGAGTACCCAGTTCCAGCCAATGAAGCCTCTGCTCAAGCACGAATCTCTGGGATCCCAGGCCTCCGCAGATAGAGGTGAGTGTTATCTTCTGGGCAGTTTGAATTCTACAGACTTCATCCAGCTTCATTAAGGATCACCGAATAGGTCCATTGACTGCTACTGTGTTTGGCCATCACTGACTGACTCTTAAACAGTGCTGGAAAGCTTTCCTAATCAAGCCCGGACATAATAAAAAGCTAAATAAGTAAAACTTGGTTTGGAAAGAATTGGTTCTCCATTCATTTCACACATAATTGTGGAGGCCTCCTACATGGTAGCCCGGTGTTGTTGGTGAGACAGTCCTGGCTGCCACAGAGCTTATGTTCTAGTGGGGACGACAGTAGATAAACACAACAATATAGTTTCAGACAGTGGTAAGTGCCAAGAAGAAAATGACCAGAATCTGTAAAGTCAGTAGGAATATCCCACAGATTACAGGACTATTGCAAATGAGAGTATAAATCTTCTCAACCCTGGGTCTGTTGTCAAAATAGCATGAATCCCTCCACAGGACATGACCATATGTCCTGAACGTGTGTGTGGGTTCCCAGGACAGAGCACCAAGACATGGAAGCCACCACACAGTCTTTATTTCACAACACAGGTTCTAGCCTAAACCAACTGTTCTGTGCCCCTTTTAAAGTCTGCCTCCTACAGGGAAACCTGAAGTTCTTGCTTTTCTCTCTTGACTCTGAGCAGGTTCTATACAACCAGATGCCTGTGCGTTTCTGGTTCTAGCCTTCTTTGACTCTGGTTTTTCAAAACCAAAGAAGGCCCTTAACAACCACTAAAGACATTTTAACCAAAATCTTATTTTTCTCCCCCTCCCAAGCAAAGTTCAGAGAATCTGCAGATGAAAAGCTTGTTTTATGTTGCTTAAATTCACCATTCCTTCCAAGGATCCTGCCCTTTTTCTATAGTTTTTGTATATTGACAGCATGCCACGCCTCTCTAGGCCCTAGGGTTGGAGCTGGTAGGGACCAGGCACTGGGGAAAGGAGCACATTCTGTATGAACTTCCTGGCAGGAATTTACTAGCCCAGTTTTTGAACTTGGAATCCACAGGCCAGGGAGGCTGGGTGCCAGGGTCCATGTCATCCAGAGCGTCTTTCCTTCTTAGTTCTCCAGGTTCCTGGGCTTGCCCCGGGAGGGCGCTGCCGACGAGACGCAGTGGTGGCTGCCAGGCTGCCCTCAGAGGCCCAGGTGAGCTGGAGCCCCCCTGTTGTGCGTCCTGTGCCGGGCCCTCCCTCCCACCCTACATCCTACACCCACCCAAGTCCTAGACGGGATTTTAATTTTCTCACGTATGCCAGTTTCGCTTGTCATGGTCTAACTTCTTGGTGCCTAGTTAAGAGCCTTTTCCTATTTTATGACTAGCTTGGGTGCTGTACTTCCCACATCCTCCCTACTCCGTCTCTCTGGTCAGCCCCTGCTTCAGTGGGATTTTCTTCAATAAGTACAATTCAGCAAATGCAAGCAGAAGCTTTTGTGATGGTGCTTTTGTTTTGAAGTGGGTTTTTTTTTTAAAGATTTTATTTATTTATTAGAGAGAGTGCATGAGAAGAGGGGAGAGGCAGAGGGAGAGGGAGAAGCAGGCTCCCCGCTGAGCAAGGAGCCCGATGCGGGGATCATGACCTGAGCTAAAGTTAGAGGTGAGCCACTCAGGCGCCCCAAGTTTTGTGTTTTTTTAATGCTGTTACTAGGGTATAAACACATGGTCTCTGGCTCTCAAGGGAACTTAAAAGTTGAGAGGACAGATGAGCCATGTCCATTTATCTCAACTAATAGTACAATCTGAACAGTCTCTACTTAAACTGGATTTTACTTTTCTTATCCAGTTCTTCATGTCCTTGAGATTCTGTACAGTCCCCTTCTTCCCTGACTGTTCTCACTTCAGACCTACATTTCATTGTATTTTAATAATCATTCATGTCAATGAGCCCCCATCACTACTTTGCTGAAAATCACCCCACGAATCTTCTGAGAGGTTTCGGTTTGGTTCCAGTCCTTTCACTGGGTTGGCCTTTTTTTTGTCTAGATACTGACGTGAAGACACTTATCCTCATGTGTTCGCTGATGGTTTACTTCCATGGTTGTTCTGTTCACCGGGTGAAATAGGTATTAAGGTGCTGCACTGGCGTCATCTGCAGAGCCTATGGGGGGGACGTTCACCCCCTGTGCCCAGCTGTGGGCGTGACCCTGGGGAAGAGGAGCTAGGTGGGATCGTGTACTGTTTCAGGGCTTGCTGAAAACGGAAGATGTGGCCCTGGCTTTCTCCCCTGCATGGACACAGCTGGATTCACCTCGGGGGAGCTTCCACAGAGATGAAAGGCAGGAGAACTGTGGCGGCCTGACCCCCCTGGGTAAGACGGATGGGTGCTGGTTTCTCCTGGGGTTTCGGGGCTTCCTTTATCAGTCAGAACCTACCGGGCTGTGAGAACCTGTTTGAACTGTTTGCATTCAGAGCCACCATTTCTGAACCCCAACTCCTAACCACGTGTGTGACCAGCTCCTTAACCCCTGTGACCTTGCCTCCTTCCCCATCTGCCAGGGTTCTGGTCAGGTGAAGTGGGATGCAGCCCATGCAACCCCCAGCACAGGCCTCGCTCACAGGAGGTGCGCAGTGTTGATCCCCTCCCCGCTGCCAGCCTCGACAGAGGAGAGCTGAGTCCTCCTCAGGAAATGGGCCGTGGGCCCACAGAGCACGAGAGCAAGAAGTGGCCTGGAAGGGACAGCAGAGCTGACCTAGAGATCAGGGGACAGGACACAGGGCAACAGCTTGACTCGTCTGAGCTCACGCCGCTCCATCCGGTACCGTGGGAGCTCCAGCTCACATCTGTCCGCACCGAAGCCAGTCCTTGTCTGGGATCAGAGTGACTGCTCGTGTCCCTGATTAGGGATCAGTTTCTAAGCTCCCACTTGCCCCGTTTCTTACAGAGCGTTTTGCAAGTCCTTACACTTGCCTGCTTCCTGCCGCCTTCTGCCCAGCCCTCCTAGCGTCCGGCCCCAGCGCAGGGCCCTGCCTTCGTCCTTCGGACTTAGAGCCTCTGTGTGTGTCCCCAGCACAGCCCTCACCACCTTCCTCCACTCCCAGTGCACACCCTGCTCGCGATGGCCCCGTGCCTCTTCTCCGGCCTCCTTCCTCCCCAGCACCCGTTGTCCCCCATTATTCCCACCCTTATCCCTTCACGGAAATCCTCATCGCAGAGTCTGTGGAACTCTGTGGCAGGGCCTAACTGACCGTGTCCGGCCACTTGTTATTTCAGGTGGTAACATGCAGGCTGAGATCACGGACCTGCCCCCAGATGAGCAACATCCAGGACAAGAGCCTGGGGAAATACCGCGCCACTTGAGTGAAGACATTGCCCGGATTCCTGCCTGTCTAGAAGCTGGTGAACAGGAGGGCAGGTTACCGAGAAAGCAGAAAAATGCCACAGGAAGTAGGCGGCACTACTGTCACGAATGTGGAAAGAGTTTTGCTCAGAGCTCGGGCCTGACTAAACACAGGAGGATCCACACTGGGGAGAAACCCTATGAGTGTGAGGACTGCGGCAAGACCTTCATCGGGAGCTCTGCCCTTGTCATCCATCAGAGAGTCCACACTGGGGAGAAGCCCTATGAGTGTGAGGACTGCGGCAAGGTCTTCAGCCACAGCTCAAACCTTATCAAACACCAGAGAACCCACACTGGGGAGAAGCCCTACGAGTGTGAAGACTGCGGGAAGACCTTCAGCCAGAGCTGCAGCCTCCTAGAACATCACAGAATCCACACGGGGGAGAAGCCCTACCCGTGCAGCATGTGTGGTAAAGCTTTCAGGCGGAATTCACACCTCCTGCGACACCAGAGGATCCACGGCGATAGAAACGTGCAGGATCCTGAACGTGGAGAGACCTGGGAGAGCCAGGGGAGGGTGGAAGGCCAGTGGGAAAACGTCGAGCCTCCCGTGTCTTATAAATGTAACGAGTGTGAGAGAAGTTTCACTCGGAACAGAAGCCTTATCGAACACCAAAAAATCCACACTGGTGAGAAACCCTATCAGTGCGACACATGTGGAAAAGGCTTCACGCGAACTTCATACCTTGTTCAACATCAGAGAAGCCACGTTGGAAAAAAGGTTCTATCGCAGTGACCCACGTCGTAGGTGGCAGAGTTCGTGCTCATTCCTCATTGACCCGAAGCCACCCGCAGCCCTTCCTGACCACAGAAACTGGGCTGGGCTTTACTGACCATTCCCATCATCTTGTGTTAGAAGACACAGAGTCTGGCTGAGGTGGATTCTCTTCTACATTCTAGAGGGTGGCTCAGGAACAGCTTATTTGATAGGAGGTTACAGGAGAGTTGTCTGGAAGGGGTAGGACCTGAAATGTTTATTCTCACCTACTGGACTGAAACGGGCTTCCAGACTGGCTCACCACCTCCAGCCAGCACTTTGTGATGTCTCGTGGGCAGAAGGCTCTGCCCATAAAGAATCCTCCATCAGCTGGTCCGATCCGTGACATCTTACTTACACTCCCCACTGTGCCTTGAACACAGGTGCTGATAAACATTCATTAAATGTAACCGTGAGATGACCCTATAGCTCTGGATATGATATCATCTAGATTCCTGAAGAACTTCTCACCGTAGCCTTTTGAGCTTGTGTCTAATTCTGAGGCTCTAGATTCTGAGTTAATCTAGCACATTTTTTGCAGATCACATAAGACTGGCGGGTTGAGGGAGAGGTTACTGTGATAGAAAGAATTCAAATTTCTTGACCAGACCAGGCATTCCAATGTGAATACCTTAGGTTCTTCATCATGAAATCACTGTAAAGGTATGCCAGGCATGGAATGCCATTCTTTAATATTGCTACTCTCTGCAGAGAAAATATTCCTACGCAGACAGTGTGAAAATTAATCAAATCAGAATAAAATGAAAAATTTGCTAATGCTTAGCATCTTGGTTCTCAGCTTTCAGTCCTCTTGGGCCTAACCATGTGCTCGCTAAAGCCACAGACACTATCCTGCCCACGACCCACTCCACTGGAAGGTATGGTAGACTGACTCACAACTTATGCCTGCTAAGTTCAGACTTCCTTTAGGTCAGTAGATTCATACCAAATATTTAAAGCAGGTATCACTTATGGTTTCAAAACTCCATTATTAGTGTGCAACCATCTTGGTCTTTTTTTTAAAAAGGGTTTTATTTTATTTTTAAAAGATTTTATTTATTTGAGAGAGAGAGAGGAAGTAAGAGAGAGAGAGTGCACAAGCTGGGGGGAGAGGCAGAGGGAGAGGGAGAAGCAGACTCCCCGCTGAGCAGGGAGCCCAACGCAGGGCTCGATCCCAGGACCCTGAGATCATAACCTGAGCCGAAGGCAGCCGCTTAACTGACTAAGCCACCCAGGTGCCCCTATTTTGGTCTTACATATTAATTTCTAGGTCACCAATGTGGTACCATCTCAATTGTTCATGATGACAGTTTTAGCTGTTAAGTTAATTCCTCAGGCAATCTTCTTTCTTTCCTTTTTCTTTTTTAAAGATTTATTTGAGAGAGAGAGCATGAACGGGAGGGCAGAGGGGGAGAGAATCTCAAGCAAACTCTGTGCTTAGTGGAGCCCAATGTGGGGCTCAATCCCAGGACCCTGAGATCATGACCTACGCTGAAATCAAGAGTCAGATGCTTACCCAACTGAGCCAACTAGGCGCCCTACTATTTACTTTTCTTAAGCACACTTTGTAGACCATCTTTTTTTTTCCTTCATGATAGTCAAAGTTTCAGTTTTGTGAGAAAACTTTAAGTCACCATTATAGAAGAACAGTGACCACTGAACAACACTGGTTTGAACTGCACAGGTCTGCTTATATGCAGATTTTTTTCAACAAATGCAGTACTGTAAGTATATCTTATTATTAATAACATTTTTTCTCTAGTTTACTTCAAATGTATAGTATGTAATACATATAACAAAAAATACATGTTAATCAACTTTATTGGTAAGTTTCCTGGTCAACAGAAGGCTATTAGTAATCGGGGTATTCACTACAGAATTGATTTCCAGTTCTTACAACTGCTAGTAAAAACCTAGGAATAATGTTTGTGCCTCCCACGTTAGGGAAGAGATTCTGCTTTACGCATATACCAGTTCAGATGTTAGTGTCTTCCCCAACATCCTCACAGTCACACCCAGAATAATGTGTGACCATGTGTCTGGGCACCCCGTGGCCTGGTCACGCTGACCCATAAAACTGATCATTACAAAACTGTAGTTTGGGGTATTCACTACAGAATTGAAACTTTTAACCATGCTCCTCCCCACTCCCCCCACCTTTGATTTCAGTTATTACAACTGATAGTAAGAACCTAGGAAATAATGTTTGTGCCTCCATCCCTTGCTTACAGATCAGGATAGAGAAGAGGGCTGCTACGAAGCTGAGACGGAGCTGAATGACTGGCTCACTACTCTATGCTCAGCACCGGGCACACCTGATGAATGAATGATTCTGAAGATGGGTTGATTCTACTTGCTCTCTCCTATTAACATAAAATCCCTACTGCTAGAGACCACAGTGTTCACAGCCTTATTTCCAGAAATAAACTTTTCTTCCCTATTTCTAAACAAACTCTGTGTTTACAGCCGTTCAGTCAGCAAATCTCACAGTGTTAGGTCACACACTAAGGAATCGTAGACGAACAGTTGTCTCTTCCTTTGAAGAGCAGGAGAACTAAACTCTCTTTTATGGTGTTCTGTCCATGCCTGTTCTCATTTTGTGAGTCGGCCTGGCAACCCCCATGTCCACACAGGTGCTGCACAGACCAGGACTCAACAGCAGCTGCTCTAGGCCTGTGGCCCACCCAGCACGTGAGACTGGGCGAGCACGGAGCGCAGCCTGTACAAGGCCACTTGCCCCTCCCCTGGCCAGCACGGAGACTGTCATGAGGGGTTTCCCCTCCCGTGGAGGAAGGCCCACTCAGCGGCAGCAATACCAGCTCCTCAGCAGCAGTCTGTTCTACCGTATGCACTGCTATCACATGGCTTCTTTGGTGCCATCCTGTGGGACACAGGGAGCGAATACATTCGCCTATTCCTGCTTTTGCTGTTCACACAGATTCAAAAATGGCTGGGGCACCTGGGTAGCCCAGTCGGCTAAGTGGCCGACTTGATCGTGGCTCAGGTCATGATCCCAGGGTTGTGAGATTCAGCCCCACGTTGGGCTCCATGCTGAGCATGGAGTCTGCTTGAGATTCTCTCTCCCTCTACCCCTCCCCCTGCTTACATGCTCTCTCAAATAAATCTTTAAAAAATTCTTTTTTAAATATTGCTTCCATCTAAAAGGGGCTATTTGTTTTCTGACCAAATCTGTCGGCCTTTCTTTAAAAAAATCTGGTGCCAAACATGGGGCCATTAAGGGCACAGTGCCCTTTTTTGAAGAAGGACGTGGCCACACACAACAGGATAGCATATGTGGTAAGAATTCCTGGGATCTGGCAGCACACGTCCTTGACTCTGTGGTGGGCAGGAGAGTACAAGAGTCTTCCCACTGTTGTACCGGTATTGCCCTGGCTAAGTTACAGAACAACGTAGCATGTGCTACCTGCTCATGAACGTTCAGAGGCTGTCACCAAACGTAGGACTGAATCCAGGTGCCCCATGCCGTAACTGTTACTAAAAGTTTGTCTCTTGAGGCTGAGTAGATAGCCACTTAAAAATGAAAGTCAGTATAAATCTAAGCTTACTGGTGTGGAGCTGATCCTTCTGTGCCTCTGAGCCTTCCCTGCCCTACACCCCAGCCTCACTCCCGGTAAGGAAACAAGGCTCCCTAATGCTCCAGCCACCTCTGCGATGGACTCGTCCACATCGCTCCCATGCTCCCTGAGCTGCCAGCCAATCACACAGTGTCCTCTCCTGGCAGTTGTAACCCTTCAAGTGTCTTGGTATTTCTGTAAAAAAGAGAAAAGTGTCTAAATTCATCAGACAGAATTTGAGAAAAACTTGCAATGAAGAGAAGAAAGTTAAAGTAACCCTGTGAGTGAGGGTGCCTGAGAAGTGATGTGGAGCATGAATGGAGCCTGCCCGTTGTTGGGTGTTCTTCAGTCAAGTGCCTGTATGGGACTTTTGCCCAGAGCTAACTGAATTGTTTGTTGCTTGAGATTTGATGAGTTCTTCTATATTCTAGACACAAGTCCTCTGTTAGAGATATGGTTTGCAAATATTTTCCCCTATCTGTAGCTTGTCTTTTATTTTTTTAAAAGATTTTATTTATTTATTCATGAGAGACAGAGAGAGAGGCAGAGGGAGAAGCAAGCTCCCTGCAGAGCAGGGAGCCCAATGCGGGACTCGATCCCAGGACCCTGGGATCATAACCTGAGCCGAAGGCAGACACTTAACCAACTAAGCTACCCAGGCGCCCCTGTAGTTTGTCTTTTAATCCTTAGCAGTCTTTAACAGAGCAACACTTTTAAATTTTGATGAAGACCAAATTATTAATTATTCCTTTAATCAACCATGCTTTTGATATTAATTCTAAGAATCTTTGCTTAAATCTAGGTCCTAATGATTTCCTATCTTTTCTTCTAAAACTTTATAGTTTTAGGTCATATATTTTAGTCCATGATTCATTTTGAGCTGATTTTTGTATAAGGTGTGAAATGTAGGCTATTTTTATTTTATTTTGCCTGTGGATGCCCAACTGCGCCAGCACCATTTTCTGAAAAGACTATCCTTCCTCCACTGAATTGTTTCTGCACCTTTGTGAAGAATCAGTTGGGCTTTTTTGTGTGGATCTGCTTCTGGGTACTCCAATCTGTTATACTGAACTCTGTATCTCTGTATGTCGACAACACCACCCTCTCTTGATCACTGTAGATAGACGGTAAGCCCTGACATTGGAAATAGTGATTCCTCCCACTTTATTCTTGCTCAAACTTTAGTTTTTTCAAGGTCCCTTGCCTTTCCATATAAATTTTAGAATAAGTTTATCTACAGAAAATTCCTGGTGAGATTTTGATAGGATCTGTATTAAACCTATAAATCAGTGTAGAGAGAACTGATATCTTTACTATGTTGTGTCTTGTAATTCATGAACACAGTGTGCCTCCATTGATTCAAATCTTTGCTCTCTTTCATCAGGATATGGGCAACTGAGTGCTGAACTGAATTCCACCAACAACCTGAATGAGCGTGGAGTCAGATTCTTTCCAAGTGCCTACCGAGA